TCGGCATGAGATAGTGGCCTCCATGTTGATTAGGCTAGCACGGACGTCCCGGTTGCCTTTAGATCCGTCCAGCAGCCGAGACTCCATCGTTCCTCCCACCCGGCCTCTTGCCGAGCCTTCGCCTAACCTCTCGTCGAGCCTCCCCTTTAGTCCTAAGAGGTGATAAGGGATTAAAAGATCGGGATGACACTCAAGAGTGACATTTTATTACTTTGCATTTTTTTTTCATACGTACCACTCGAATGTTTTTTTGTTAATATTAATTTATATTTAATTTATAATATTTAAATCATACGTTATTTTTTCTAATTGTTAATTATGCACTACCGAATGATTTTTCTAGTGAAAATATTATTAATTTAAAAATAAACAAACAAAATGTAAGAAATATATTTTTTTAAAAAAAACATCATTAACGATGGATTTGACAACAAATTTCCATGCTTCTAACGATAGATTTGCAACGAATTTAGTAAACCTTTTGGCTAGGATTAGCGACGGTTTAGTGACAACGATAATTAGCTTTGGATATTAACAATGACATATCGATCGTTAATCAACGACGAAGTAGCAATGGAATAGCGATGCGTTCTACGACGATTTGCGACAATCAACGTAACGACAAAAATTTTAATTGTAGCGACGGAATGGTTTTCTTCGTCGCTAAGTTTAGCAACTAGCATTTTAGCGACGGTCATTATTTCTATCCCTATGCTTATTAAGTGATGGATTTTGGCTAATTAGCAACGACAAAATCCGTTGGTAATTACCTATTTTCTTGTAGTGCAAGTATGTAACATATACTAAAACAAATCTAGAATAATTATAAAAAAAATATTAGAAATTTATGAAATTTTAAAAAAAAATAGCTTAAAAATGCGTGTATTTGTCACATATCAAAAATTTAAACAAAAATCGCATTAAAAAATAGGTCTAAATTGATAGAAAACCGAAATAAGCCATATAAACAACATATATGTTAATCCAATCCTTATTCTATTAGAATCTAGGATATTACTGAAGGAGAACTAAACCTAACTACCAAAATAAAGTAACATAACACAAACAGGGACTAAAGTTTTTTTTTAAAAAAAAAAAAAAAAAAAAGGCCAAAATATAAAACTCTCTTTTTCTTTATCTATTCTGCCCAATCTCAGCGTGATTAATCCCTCTTCATTCATCTATTTTACAGCCATGGTTTCTATGACTTCTAGCCCTATTGGCAGCAACAAAGTAAAAAAAAGAAAAAAGGTATTACTATGATGTCCCTTTAAACCTATGTGTTGGTTTTAAACATTCATTAAGCAAGAAAAGCAAGAAAATCAAGCACTAAACCCCCTCATAATGAACCTATTATGTCTAGAAATAGCTATTGTCATGCTTCTTCTTTTGCTATATTATTGTAATTACACGATGCTTAGAACCAAAGGGTAATGCACCATAAATATGATAAGAGAGAAAGAGCCATACATGTTGGAGCAAAAAACAAAGGAAAGGGGTGGATGCTGTTTTGAAGTGCAACTTTGTATGTCTCGGTTATATAGATACCTTTAGGTTTGGTTGTGTATGGTGGAGCTTTTGAGGGGAAAAGAGGACTATTCTGTAAGGGAAAAAAATGATTGGAAAAAAGAAGGAAAAATTGCAGGAGGAAAAAAAAAGAGGAGGATGGATGAATGGTCTCTCTCTCTCTCTCCCTCTGTTTTAATTGAAATAAACTGTTTCAATTAAAGTTCTATTTTTGTCCTTTCTCTTCTCTGTCTCTTACAACATTGTCCTTGGCTTTTTTTTTTCTCAATTGTAACCCTAATTGGTGATTCAGCATCTTTCCTTAATCCTCTATTTTCTTTATTTTCTTTATTTTGCTCTTCCTTTTATCTTTTTCTTTTTCCTCTGTTTTTTCTTATAGGTTTTTTGTTTCCTTTTCTTGTCTTTTTTTATTCTGGCTTTTTTTTTTTTGTTCTGGCTGTTTTTTATTGATGATTTTCTTGTCTTTTCTATGACTTTTTGTTTCTTTTTCACTCTTTTTTCTCTCTCTCTTTTTTTTTTTTAACTACTCTCAAAAACTTAGAAAAATACCAATACATAAATTTTTGAAATTCATCAAAATATCTAAAATCATGCAAAAATTAGAAAAAATATGCAACATGTAATTTTTTAAATCCTTTTGAAATTTATGTATAAATAATTTTTTAAAAAAATTATGGAAGGTCAAAAATAGGTTAAGACAGACGTTTTCATGTTCTTTCAACTGTGATGTGTAAACATCAATAATATTTGTCTCTGAGTAGATGTCAACAATAAGCAAGCAAATGAACCATTCTACCTCTCTTTCTATGTAACTTTGACCAAATATAAGCAGTAAAATATCCACACAAAAAAAACTAATATTGATTGTCTACTGTGTACTTGCATTGCTGCCTTGTCATCATCTCCCTCCATTCGCTAATTTTGTCGTTAAAGAATCCTCTTACCCACAAGTAGAGACTTGTTTGACAATCCATCATCGGACTATACAACTAAACCATCTAAAAAAAACTCTCATGACATCATCAACAAGGTTCACGATCTCATCACAATGCGTTAAAGTCGAGCGGGAAAAGCTGTTATATAGAGGATGGAAGTATGTTGTGTGTGCACACAAGTCTTCCGATCGAGGAGTTCGATGATGAACTTAGGGAATTTTCCTCCCAAGAGATGCAATGCATGGGTGGTTCAAAAAGCCCATAAACCAAGCTCCTCCAAATTCCCATCGGAAGATTTTTCCTTTCCGGTGGACTCACTGCCAAAAGGTCTGAATGTTGGTTTCGAAGAGCCTCTTCTTTCCAACCCTGCAGCAGAGTAGCACGAGAAGATATTCTTGAAAAAGGAGAGGATTGCCTTGGCAAATGTATTTGTATCCGAACAAGATAATATTATAGTATCACAAAATCTCATAAACACTTGTCTTGGCGAATGTGATTGGATCTGAATAGGATAGTATTATTTTATTATATCAAAATCTCATAACCCTGTTAATTTCAATTCGTAGCACGATAAAAAAAATCAATAAAACATATTTGAGGTAAACTGGTACTTTTAAAAAAAAAAATTCACTTTACCTTCTGAACTATATGAATTTCATCGATTTCTACCTAAAAATTTATTCTATGTCAATTACTCCCCTAACATTCATCTATTTATCAATTAAATTCTTTTTCTTTTTCTTTTTTTCACAAAGAAGTAAATGGTGTGACAAGGCATTAGTTAGATACTCTTTTGACTTCTCCCAAGAACAAAACTTTGGTTTCTGCTCAACTAAATGGCAGGCCGAGGTTGGTGCAAGTAATTCTGGCTGTGAAATTTGACGCTTCTTGCCTGATCAAGCAAAATAACACTCTTTTGACACTTTTCAGTAACAAGGCAGCATTATTTCTTTAAAGTGAATTCAAATTCAAAAATGAAGTTGAAGAGATATTAGTTCCACCTTTTCCAGCTTCCAGCTATTTAGAAGAATAATACAACAGACCACAAGAATGTACATGTCCTGTCTCCTATATGCATTATGTATACGATCTTCAATCGAGTAAAGTAGATGCCAAGTTCAAAAATTGTATATTAAACTTGTTAAGATTCAGTGAAATAGAATATGATATCCAAACCATCATGACGCATGAGCTTAGCAAATGCATCCAGAAGGATTTACTTTTAAGAGTTCAAATGCATTAGGCCTCTCATCTCAAGTTGAATTAATCTCTAATCACCGTCACCAAAACACCTACTTTTCTACTCTCTCTCATCTCTCTTTGACCTGACCCGATATTGATTCTGATACTTATCGTAGAAGCTAACCAGCAAAACCTCAAAATACTAGAACGATAACATGCTGACCAATACTATTATTTATATATATATGCTAAGGAAATAGCGTAAAGCTGTAGAGAATATGGTAGGCATAACGCGCAGGTTCCAGATTTCTTTCTACACTCTACAGTCGTGCTGTTATTCTCAAAAGAGCGTTAACAGTCAGATCAGAGCCTGGGATACACATAACAGCCTGAGGGCTGAGGCAAGAAGCACATAAAACAACTTGCATTTCATGATTCTGCCCATGCACTTATAAAACCTCTGATCCCGTTCTGACGCCTAATTAATGAAACCGTATGGCTCATTCATCCTCAACCATCCTTCTGCCACTCCAAAATCCATGCTCATTTTTCAGCCAATCCGCCTATGCCCCCGACTACCGACCACCAGCCAACCTTTACCCAGATCCTGATTGAAGAGCGATAATCGACTCGCACTTACATTTAAATCAAACCCAGATCACCTTTCCAAGGAAGAGGCTTATTATACAAGTTGCAGGGTGCACATAGAAGAAGGAAGCACTGGCATCTGTAGCTTTATTGTTTGGAAAGCATTCTTAAGCAATGGTCCACCTTTCTTCAAAATCACAACAGTTTTAGAATTTACTTGAACCCAGCTTCCATTTGTATAATAATAAGAAGAAGAAGATATTCTGCTCTGGCATATTGCCACCCAACTGGCAAAGCAGATGGACTATTTTCTCATTAAAATCCGGAAACGAGCCAGATAAAAGATGTCATTGACAAAAAGATTCCTTGAAAGCTCTACAACCAAGGCAGCGCATGAGTGGGGTAGAGCTGGAGCATCCATGATTAGGAACTAATCGCCTTTTACATTTTCTAATCCAGAAACAACAAGGCCATATAATATTAATGGAGATTAACTTCTCATGTCCAATGAAAGACAACGCAATCAATATCTAAAGTTGCCTAGAGAGACAATCTTTAGTTATTTAGCAATAACAGATTCATTGAACTTCAATACATTTAGGAGTAATTGAAACTTCAAAGTGACCACTGAAATATAAAACGCAAGCACTAGTTTGATAATGGAGCAACACACTGAGCAGATATATACATGCTAGTTTCACACGGTATGTATTACATGCTGGCATAGAGTTGGATAACCCTAAATAAGACCAATGCCAATCTATTTGGCTAAGCAGCTTCAGCAAATCCAACTCTCATATTGCCATAATCAAATACCGTGTGGAAGCGACCCATAAAGACATCACCCAAGATCCTGCATTGCAATAAATACTCGTATGAACAAAGAATTTAACAAAACCAGTGATACCAATAAGGTCAAACATTTATCATCTAAACTTCAACAGTCATCGAATGTAATCACTAAAACCGGATATTCAAACGGAAGAATGTTAGCATCTGCGAAAGAGGTAGGGAGTACCAGAGAGGACCACGAGGTGGTGGTACATCCAGTGCTGTGAACCCACTAATGCATTGAGCTACATCTCCCTCGCCAACTTTGAGGACATACTGTGGCATCATCAGAGACATATAAGCAAATAAGGATACAGATCAGCACTTGTAACATGCTGGGTTAGCCCACAGGCATGTTAGCAAAGCCATAAAGATTAAATTGTACCTGCTCAGGGCTAAGGTCAAAAACCCTCCCACCAATTGTAAATGAAACATTAGGCATGGTAGACAAACTATCACAATCAACAGATGATTCTCCCATAGGACTGGGCAACCGTTCACATAACTGCAATTACAAATAAGAGCATGGGCAAGCATGAAGTGAAACTCACAGGAATATGCTAAGTATAATCATGGTTGATTTACCTCATTGACATAGTCAAGTATGCGATCTTGTGTTTGATTCTGCTTAAGTTTGTTCTGCATCCACACAACAGCCATCTCACAAGTAGAGCACATTCCATCATGAAAACCATCGGATGCCTTCTGAGCATTCTCATTCACAACACTCTCAATGCCCATACTGATCACCTCAGAAGCAATTCAAGGAACAAAGAACAAATTTAGCTGTGCCAGAATTAGAATAGACGTATCTCTTGACACATGCAATAATGAAAAACATTTCATGTCTAACCTTACACCTCGAGTCCCGTCAAATGTGCACAAACCAATTTGTGAGCAAATTTTTTGCGGCTGGTCCTGACATGGGATGATGCTAATGATTAGAAAGTGAAAAGGCAATCAGAAAATTAACTTCACATCACACTGGAAATAATGGTATATTCAGCAGCTTGGCATATACTTTTGCTAAAAGCATCTCAATTATGGTTTCTCCATATTGGGCAACAACAGCCTTGCACTCTTGACTAACCACTCCTGTGGCTCCAATGGCATGATTTACTTCAGTAATAATAGTCTGCAAATGAAACACAAAATAACAGTAGTTAGACATATGTCCAGCTAATTCAAGCAGTGTACACCAAACACACTGACGCTTGTGCGTGTGTGTGTGTGTGTGTGTGTGTGTGTGTGTGTTGGGGGGGGTTGTGGTGGGGGTGGGTTATCAATAGTTCATTGTTAAATATGCAACAATGTCCCCTGCACAGACTCATTAAAACAAGCATGACATCTAATTGCTCATTTACAAGCATATGAAATCTAGCTTGAACCTCCCATCTTCTTTTGAGAAGAGGATTTGGTCAAACTAGACAGTTCATAAGCAAGAAGCACCTAACAAGTCTAGAACTATGCAGAGAAGCCTATGCATGCTACATGAGGTTGAGTACACACCGTAGGACCAGCTAACAAAGAGGTTCCAGAATCAGCAATTGCCGCACAGCCATTGGCACAAAATCCTGAACAAAGATGGTAAAATCATGACGGTAGCCAATGAAATTATGAAGTAAAGCATCCACATCTCCCTAAAACAGAGTTACAAATATAGTTAAAAGTACATTGCTTACCAGTTGTTTGACCATCAATCAAGACATTGCCCATATCAAACTGCCAGGAAAAAAAGGCAAGGAAAAGTGGGCATGTTCAGATGTTGAATTAAACCAGTCACCAATATATAATAGTACAATTTACACTTCGAACACCAACCTGCCAATATCCTTTCTGTGTCACAGGGACATATGTGTGCTCACCCTTGTAATGCTCAGGATCTACCCCACCAAAAACAATTTCACCCCCTTCTTCTTCATCAGCATTGCGGTTAAACCAGAATGAAAAAACTGGCTCTTTAAGAAGACCCTGGTCAAACATGTTGTACCTGAAGAAATTCTAAAGTTAGATATCTTGTTCACAAAATTCCAAACATCTTTGTCTTATCAATCATACAGGAACAATACAACAAAAATGAGCAATCTATAATACAACACCAAACAAAAGCAACATGCATATTCCATACCACACAGGTACAGCCTTTCCAACTGAAATTTCTTGAAATCCAAGTCCAAGAATGCCATCAAACTTAGCCACCAAGAATGTGATGCTGGGCTCTCTAGAAGCTTCAATAAATTCCTGAAATTAACAAGCCTTACTAGTAAGCGCAAACCATCAGCTAACACCACCATGTGAGTGCACCTAATTTTCAAAGTAACCAACACCTTGAAGTTACCTGATTCTTAACCACAAGATTACCAACTTTTACATGGTCTTGGCTAAAGAAGCCAGAAATAGCTCCAGTTCCATAGTGGATTTCTGCCGATTTTCCTGTGCATGCATTAAATTCATGTTATACTCTCCTTGTCATCTGTAGCTAAGTTTCGCCAAATCATTAAAATGTTTACATGCTCATACTAACATGCACTAAGAAACAGATGTAAATTAGTGATCTATGATCCATTACTGCTACTGTTACAGCAGAATCTCGGCAATGAATTCATCCTTACAGTTGATACACTGCCCTCCCAAACCCACCCTAAAATAAACAAAAAAAAAAAAAAAAAAATAGACAGCGTAGAAGCTTATATAAAACAAACTTGATGGCAGCACAAGAACCATTTAAAAAATTACAAGGTATAGACGTTGCGCATAATAAGCATATCTTCAAACTGACGAGATGTTATGGACATATTTAAGACCGATCAGAATGCGTGTAAGAAGAAATATGGCATACTTGGCAAGTCTTTAAACGGAAAGGCACTATAAGACCATAGTAGGTATCCTAGACTCCATTAGCTTACAGGATAATTGAAATCATGCAAGAAACTCACACAAACTTGATGCAAAATGATGAAGTGAAAAATCCCATAAAATAAGATAAAAATAATAATAACAAACCATTCTTCTTGTAGGTGCTCGAATGCCTTGACTTGTACTTGGAGTGGAAATAACAAGCAATCTGCAAAGGCAGACGCACAAAATGACCACATCCTTTGTCGAAATGAAGACATAATCCACAAACAAAACAAAACAAATAGCAGAGCAAAGAACTCACAGAGAAATAGCACTTGGAAGATGGAACCCAGAGATTAGAACTACCAGTGTCAAATATGACTGTGAACTTTTGTGGGGGAGTCCCAATACCGATCTCGCCAAAGTATTGAGCATCCATGTAATTCTTTAGCGAAACAACATCAGTATCCTCTGCATCTCCTAAATTCTCACGAAGATGATACTTTTTAATAGAAGCCCTCAATGACTCTCCTTCCTTGCTCTCAAGCTGCACAGCCACTCGGTTGTTCCGATCAAATTTCTTCTTCTTGAGCCCGATTCTAACCAACCCATCATCGGGCGCAACCGCAGAAAAAACCATAGGCAGCAGAAGAAAGCATAGGAAAAGCATCGCTGCGATTGGTTTGAATATTGTTCCCATTTTGATTGATAAAAAAACACTGCAAATTTTAAGATAAGTTAGAATCAATAAAAGATGCAATTTCTAGCCGTTTCTTCTTTTCTATTTTTCTGATGTTCAAAATTTTGGCCAAAGATCACTAAACAAAAACAAACTAACAAAGACACACATAAGAATACGTACAACAATGAACCAAAATCAAAAGGAGATTAAGAGTTAACTAGATTACGATTATGATGAACATAAAACACTCACAGGTTTTTTCTTTTCTTTTGACAAGCTGATGAGGAAGAGGAGGATGAAACCGCAAACAAGAATTGAGACTTTGTTTGCCAGGAACCAACTGGTGTTGACCAGAAGATGATGATAGATAGATATTTTATTTTTACAGCCGGTACCTTTCCTCCGCTTACATATTTTTGTTCTTTAATTATTTAAGTGTAAGCCACGTTATTCCTTTCATTCATAATTTTATACGGCCAATCGAAAAATTTTATAGTACGCAAAAAGTAATAATAACTTTAAAAAAATTATAAATATATAAAAATAAAAAAATAAGAGAGAAAAAATTAAAAAAATTAAACGAATGTAAAAATATTTTTATTTCTTTTGATGGATCCATATTTAATTTTTTTATATATGTCTATTCTCTTCCAACGTAGATACATAAAATAATTATTATATATGTCACTAATTACTTCTTTGATTATTATAAAATTTCTCCTCTAACTCCTATTGATAATAACTAATAGAGCGTTCGCCGGTGACAACATATAAGTCTACATAATATGTTTAATATTTTAAAATATTAAACATATTATATTTTGGTGTTAAATAAAAATAATTAACATTAATTATAAGATTTTTTAATTTAATATTTATTATGTCATATTTTATAATTGAATTTAAATATATACTATGAATATGTTTGATGTTGATTAATAAAAAAAACTTTACTTATTTAGTTATTTTTTAAAGATCAAATTAGAAGATAGTGTTAAATCAATTAATATAAGAAAAGTGTTTAATTTTAAGTATTGAATTTATAAAAAAAAAAAAAAAACTATTAACTATTGAGAAAAAATTATTTTGACCAAAATAATAAATAATGAAAAACATAAAAAGAAAAAAAAAGGTGGGCTAGGCTGCCCAACAAGCCATTTGGGATGGGCCAAAAGCACAACCCAATCATAAAATAAAAAGTACAAAGACCTTTTTGTAACAAAAATTAAGATCAATGAGCATTTTATACAAAATTAGAAGTTGAAAGACTAAAGTGTAAAACTATACAAAATGTTTAAAAATTCATTTTTATTTTCTCGTAAAGCCATTTCATTTCGAACCAAAAAGGCATAAATGATGGCATTTTGTCTACGATAGCAAAGGTTTAGGAACGAGTAAAACTCTATTTAGTTTTAGTGTATACTAGATTTTTACTCTCGTTACGATATAAGTCGGATATAAAATGTAAAATCATTTTAAAAAATAATTTCAGTTTAATGATATGTATTATATAATGAGTTTTTTAAAATATATCAAATCAAGAATAAAATCAAAACTATTTTTTAATTTTGTGTTTAACTAATTATTCATTATGTTTTTCATAATTTTTTTCTTTTTTTCTAAAAAGAACACAATTTATTCTTTTACATCTAAATTCTTAACTAAAAACTTGTGAGAAAATTCAAAAATCCATGTATTCTTAACTAAAAACTTTTCTTATAATTATTTATAAAAAAAAAATGAGACAAATTATCTAAAAAACACTTTTAATTTTTAGATTATATATATATATATCATGCTTTTTTCATTTAAAAATTTCAAATAATTAATTATATAAATTATAACAAAAAAATTTAAGAGAACATTACAATATTCTAAAAATTAATTAAAAAAATCCATCCATAGATCTCTCTATCTCCCCCCCTCTTTTCTCTTTATTTCTCTCTCTTGACGACCAAGGACTAAATTATAATACAAATAAAGTTGTGGATTCAAATAAAAAGTATTTAAAAAATAAAGGATGGAATAATAATGTGAGCAAAACTTTACATATAAAATGGTTGGAAAAAACCTCAAAATTACAAAAAATAAATAAATAAACGATGTGTGAATAGTGTCATGAATGAAATAAATGCCTAAAAAAAATTTAAAATAATGAAAATATCACTTTTTTAAATTATAAAAAAGTCATCAAGTGAATAGTATTATATGAATTTGTGAAAGGTATAAAAATAATAAAAATCCTATGTTTTCTAAGGTTCTTATAATCACCATGTAGCAACACCAAATAGAAAAGAAAAAATTGAAGTCGGGATGAAAGGGGATTAGGGAAGAAATCTTAGCAAAAAGTATGACTGGAAAGCATTAAATGCTACACCAAATCCATTAGAAATTGACGAAAAAAGGGCACCATATAAGTGGGAGGAAAGCCAAAAGCGAGGGCAAACTCGTAACTTCACACCAACACCCAATGGTAAAAAAGAAATTAAGGTGATAATGAAAGGGTATTGTCTTGGTAACAAAATAAAAGGCGACAAGATTCATTAAAAATATATATATATACATACAAATACAAGGGGTGTAGTGAACGGACTATGAATAGCTTCACCCCCACCTCTTTTAATTTTTTACTTAATATATAGGAATAGTAAAACTCTATTTAATTATATATATATTAATCTAGCATAGTGTGCACCACCATTTGAGAGATTTTTTAGAGAAAATTTACTTCGTAGAAAAGGTTAAAGCTAGCATTCTACGATTTTTGTTGCTTCTTATATGATTGTTTAAGCTTCGTGGATCATTAGTAGAGACCCAACACTTGGACGGTTTTTTTCATAAATTGATTTCTCGCACTATAAGAAGTAATCCCTAATCGTCTTATTGCTAATACGAGTTAGTATATTCAACGGTTGATCTTGAAAACTTTAGATAGAGGAAATAAATTTTTTTTTATTATGTATCTCTATAAGATGTATGATACATCGGAAAATTATCAAGAACAAAGTACTATTGATATGGATTGAAAAGATGCCTAGATTCTATAAAAGCTCAAACACACAAATACAAGTAAAACACCAAAATCCACTTAGGTTGAAACACTCTAATAATAATTCAGCCTTAAATTAACTCTAAACAATCCATCCAAATCACAAGCAAATAAACCCAAACAACAAATACAAGCAAAACCCGAGACTTCACAAATAAAACTCAATAATTTGTTAAATTGGGTTAGATCGATCCTTAGCCTTTATTGATCGGAATGAGCAAAAATTTTAACACAATCTAGTTGAAGTATAGTAGATTATGTGTTCGAAAATTTAGGTTAATCTAACACTTATAACTCGTATTTTAAGTTTGTCAAAATTCTATGACGAACAGATTCCAAAATTTTAACAATATTCAAGCAATTGAAAACCCTATCAAATTTTTTTTAAAAAAAAATTTATGAAATTTTCAAAAGGCCTAATCGAGCTTATAAGAGAGATTCTCCAAATTTCAAATCACACAAAAGTCCTAAACTTGGTTATTTGCTTTTCCATTGAAATTATTCAACTTTGAAATTTAAGTTTGTTTTTAATCCAACAATCAAATAAAATTCAAGCACAATAACCCCTCTTGAATGTAGAACCCACCGCCCAAAAAAAAGATTAGAATACTTATGGTATACGTTAGTCACCAGTCATCCCGACGCAATAATTGATTGAAAGCCCACTTTACTTGATCTTTTTAAAGATATATTTTACGAAGTCCTAACTAATCTAAGCAAAAGAAATACATAAAATTACAAAGAAAAATCTTAATTCTTAATTCTATTATAAGTTTAATAAAAGACCCCACTTGCTTAGCAAAAATTTTCTATAAATATTGACTCCAAAAATCCTAATAGATTTAACTAAGGTCAAGTTTCCTCTACTAAGTCGGACTTCCCTCTAAATAAAACATTGATTTTATCTAATACACATTCAATTAAGACTTAATTAATTTAGTCCAATTAAATATCCACATATTACATGGACTATTAAATAAATAAACAATACTAAGAAAATAAGAATTTATAGCACACAAAGGTCCAATCTTCTAATAAACTCATATATTTGGCAAATTCTAATTATTCTAAGAATCCGTAAACCATTAGGACTAATTATTAGGCCAAGTTCATTCAGATAAAAATAATTCAAATAAATAATATGCAACCCAATAAATAAAAGAACATAAAATAAAGATAGGATAAATGGATTAAAGTTTTGACCAAGGATGGCTAGAAACTTTCAGCCATGTTAGAGAAAAAACACTCATGTGTCATGCTATCCGAGTTGAAAAAGAATCAACTTTGATGTCCTCGTCTTTATCTTCCTTTCTAAAGTTGAAAGATCTATCTCTTTGAATGTAGTTGAAAGTAAGTAATCTCTAGGCAAATCAATCATATATGTTTGCTCTCTTATTCTCTTTAAAACTCAAAATGGGCCTTTTATGTCTTTAAGTTTAACAAACATAATCTTAGAGACTTTCTTTTTCTTGATGTTCACCCATACTAAGTCTCCTTCATTATATGTTTCTTTGGTGCAAAATTTTATGACTTCAACCAATAACTTCTCCATATTGAGAATTTTGACATTGTTGTTACTCTTCTTCTCTTCGGTAACTTTAATAATTCTAACTTAATCTCCACACTTTTTTTCTCTCTTAACAATAGTCTTACCCCACTTTTTTTCCTATGTTAACAACCTTTAATTCACTCTTTGGTGTTTTGGCGACAACTCCTTCTTTAGTCTAAACAATCACAACACCAACTACTTTTTTCTCTTCATAGGGTTTGTTAGTAACAAACCTCAAACTCTTTTCTCCCTTATGGCAATAGCTTACCTACTTATTTCTTTATGTATGTCGGTTCTTAAACTCCATCTCGTTTCCCTCAACATCTACTACTTATCCCTCATAACTCATGAGAACAACAACACTCTCATAAGTTATACCATCCATGACATCTCTTTCACCTATAATCTTAAGAATCTCAC